CCAAATATCTTACCCATTAACAAAAGTGTATCCTATTTGTGTATCACTCGGCTGTAGATCCTCCAATCATCTCCACTGTCCTTCCTTCTGGGGGGTGGCTACTTCTGTTCCCCCATTGTCCCTGTGTGTCACCGCTCCAAGCTCACTCCCGTTATGGACTACAATCTCAATACAAATTAGTAAACTAACAGTGAGATTGTGGTTCATCATGGGAGAGAGCTTGGACCGGTGGCTACTTTACAACACACACAGGGACCACAGGGAACAAAAGTAGCCGCCCCCCAGAAGGAAGTATGAAATCAGAGATGATTTGAGGATCTACAGCCGAGTGATACACAAATAAGATACATTTTTGTTACTAGTTAAAGGTACATGTATGAGATTTGTAAACCAAAATCTTTGAGGCCTGAATTTCTAGATAAGGAATTGATCCATAATAAAAGTATTTTTAAGTACAGCTGAGTTGCCCCCACAGCCTCATTCGTTCCCATTGTAAATTCATACTCATGGCCGCTTCAAGTGCTCACTTCGAGTATGGTTTATTCAGTTGATAGGAAGGAATGGTGCCATGGTGCGCATGCGCAGTACACAGCATCTGTACAGTGAAGGTCGGGGCTGAAGGTAAGTATAAGACCAGGTGGGCATCACTCCTGAGAGTGGGTGTAACAACATATAAAATCCTACCCAGAATGCAGTAACCCTCTCTGACCTCGAGATCTCCACCTACCCCTGGAACAGCTATAGCAGGCTGTGTACAGCGTTCTAACTACTCACCACCCTCTATACAACATCCACAGTAGGCAAAATAATATATACAGTGCCCTCTCCATAGGACTATATGGAAAATTCACCCTGGCTGGTGAGTCTGACAGTTTGGCTATCAAGCCAAACGTGGCTCTCTAGAGCCATGCTTGTTGATGATTGTCCTGCCAGGGTTCCAAACCCTCCTCACTCCACTCCAAAATACAGAAGTACAGTTACAAGTAGCCCCTACCTTCTTTAATACGGCCCTAGCAATCCTGTCTTCAGAACATTCCCCTGCTGTACCATACAATGAATTTGGTGATCAGCTTTGTGTGTAAGGGCTCGTGTGGATGGGTGTTCTTGCCAAATGCAGCAGTTTCCATTCTAATACAGCACTGCTCAAACGCATGCATTCAAATGAAAAACACAGCGTTTGACCAGCTTTGTCTGCAATTCAAACAAATCTCAGTAGGACACGCTGCGTCTGAAGAATTGCAATGCACAGTAAGATAAACATGGCCTCTGAACTGTCATCCACACTAATCCATTCAAGTCAATGGGAATCTGTTGGCTGACATTTGACGTGCGTTTCAAATCCAGTTTAAATGCAGAAAAGCAACACCCACCCACAGACGCCCTAAAACACTGGAAATGCGAGGAAAATCTAAAGTGGTGCTTCTATGCATGATCTGTAGCTATAAAAATGCCTATGTTATGCCTAGAATACATTTACTGAGATACACTGTCGGAAAGGCTGAAATACTGCGCTATTAGGGCCAGAAGGATTTAAACATACCGACCTCTTTCTTAGAGCAAAAGTATTGAGCTTAAATACCAATATTAAAGAGGATCTAAACCAATAATACATAATAATTAGTTTGCGGAAACACTGAGTATCAAACAACTGCCATGGCGGGTTTTTAAAAAATAAAATAAAATACAGTTTTTGCCTTTTGTATATGCTTCTTTTACATCTTAGTGCTGATCTCCTGGAGCCCCTTTCAGCCACTTCCTGTCTACATGCACTCGCACCAGACTCGATTATACACTGTTGATCAGCATCTGCATCCTGATAATGACAATGCTGGGCCATGCCTGTGCAATGTTTGTGGACACAGGAACAAAGCTGCAAAACAGTTTGCCACCCCATAACAAGAAGTGTCTGAACAAGTACACTAATGGTGGGATCACCAGGTTTTATTTGAATGAAAAGCTGCAGATTTTAAAAGATTGAAATAACTTTTAAAAGTTCAATAACACGTGGAAGCTTATATAAAGTTTTAGTGATTGGGTTCAAAGCAAAACTGTACACTCATTTAAAAAGAAAAAGAAACTGTGCAAACATAATTTATAATAAAATGGTTCCATTGTATACAAATTTACATTTGATGTAGAATAACATATATTGAAATACCTGGTGATCTTGCCAGTGACTCCCTCTTCCTCCAGCAGGGTGACAACACTGAATGGCCTGCATTTAAAATTGTCAGCCTGCTCTGCATCGCCGCATATTCTGAGATTCAGCGTTGTCACCTATAACAACCCTTTTGCTTCCTCCCAATCACTGTAGAACTGAGTATCCAATAATGTGCCCTGTGATGAAGTTTGGTCTGGCACTGGGGCTTTAATAAATAACTAAGAACGTAAATACATTTACAGGGTTATTCACAAAAGGGTGGAGAGTTCGGAGAAGGCAGGGGGAGTGAACAATCTAGGACAACATAGCTGAACTGGAGAATGTTTCCAAATCAGCTATGTTGTTCTAGATTGTTCACTTCTCCTGCCTTCTCCAAACTCTCCACCCTTTTGTGAATAACTTTTCTATGCATGTTCATTGTATCTATGTACTTTACATAACAACTTCAATTGGGCTTTAAAGAACAACTTCACTTGTACTTTGTGGATGGCTCTCCATTTGGATTACGAGCACGGACCCATTCATGGCTCTGAATGGGGATTGCAAAACACATACATGGCAGGCTGGGACTGTTTTGAAGTGAAGATCTTATGAGTGGGGCTGCAGCCAAGTATTTACCCAAAGGAAATTTCAATAGGAAAGAAAGGGGGATCTATAAAGGACGACTTTCACTTCAAGTGACACTAATTGCAGGAGTTGCATGTCAAAAATGCATACAAGTACCTTAACTATTAACAAAAATGTGTCTTATTTGTGTATCACTCGACTGTAGATCCTCAAATCATCTCTGAATTGGTGCCGACACTGTCCTTCCTTCTGGAGGGTGGCTACTTTTGTTCCTCATGGTCCCTGTGTGTGTTGTAAAGTAGCCACCGTGCCAAGCTCACTCCTGGGATGGACTTCAATCTCAATACAAATTAGTAAACTAAACATGAGACTGTACTCACAAGAGTGAGCTTGGAGTGGCTACTTTACAACACACACAGGGACCATGGGGAACAAAAGTAGCCACCCTCCAGATGTAAGGACAGTGTCGGCACCAATTCAGAAATGATTTGATGATCTACAGCAGAGTGATACACAAATAAGATACATTTTTGTTATTAGTTAAGATACTTGAATGCATTTCTAAGATTTAACTCCTAAATTTAGTGTTACTTTAAAGTAAAAGTGTCCTTTAAGACTTAACTACTTGTTTCTTGCATATGCCCTATTGTGACTGGTTCCCTTTATGAACAGAACTGGCAACTAAGCTCTTATCCAGAACCATGCAGGTAACATGAACAAAAATGAATCATATTTAGGCATCTGATATAAAATTAGCCTCTTGCTGGCAAACCAGCAAGCACATTTCAAGTGGAACATGAATCTATTACTGCCAAAAATAATGCAAAGCAGCCAGGTCATTATGGCTCACTGACATAAACGCTGCAAAAAGTAATCAGGACCTTCCACATAGCAGCCACATCCCAGATCAGACCAGAAGCCAGCATCTAATTACTTGCTAGCAGTAAAGACATTGTTCCTTGGCTCCAATTTTCATTACTGGTCAGTGTTGGCGGAATTGATGCAGAAAAGGCTCAGATCATAGAAGAAAACAAACAATAAAGTATTATTTATGTTCCCTGGCAGTGCTATGCTCTTCACATAGAAGAAATCGAGTACTGGCACTCCATCATACATGGCTCAACAGAGCTCCTCCATTCATATTACTGACACTACTGGCCTTATGACAAATGACTCAACTCTCATTCATACCTACAACACTGGATCTGCCATCTATACACAGGTCACATGATTAAAAGGAAAACTCCAGTTTCAATTGTAGTTGTATGACTACAATACAAACAATTTTATCATTCAGGGCAGGTTATCTCATTATACTTATCCTTCCATAACTGGCTCACTACCTTACCCAGAAGGCTGCACAGAACCTCGACTCAATAAGGTGTCATAGCCTTGAGTAAACTGCAATGGGGATGTCATCTTTGGTGAGATACATGTAGACGGTGTTGTACACCTATAGGGGCTCTGGGATGCAATGCTCCTTACTACAAAACTGAACAAACTCACAGGATTAAAGCGAAGGCAGACTGTCCCCCATACCGCTCATCTAGGAATATGTGAGCAAGTGCACTGGCATTGCACATCTAATGCCACAGAACAAAAGCAGGAAAGTTTGTGACCAACTATTGCAATCTGTATAGTGGAGCCTAAGGCGTGTTTTCACAAAAACTGGAGTTTCACTTTAAGTACGATCACTCTTCTCTATGAATTCTTTTTTTTCCCCAGAGATTCAGAACAGGCATTACTAGGCGACCTCAATATAAAATGGTGCATTCAGTTGCACATCAGTTTATAACCCCCATGCCATCCTTTACAGCAGCGAACAATGGGAACTGCTACTTACTGGAGTGTACAGCAGTTGGCGATGTTATAGTGGGCAGATATGCACCATACACTTCTAGAACAATGAACAATCGTCACCAATCTCTGCTGGAACAGATTCAGCAATGTCACATATTACATAATGTAGTGCATGTTTCGGCATAGTCAGTGCCAGGCTCCACTAGTCCAGGATTCACACACAAAACATGAAGAGGGCAGGAACCACCATCCTGCAAAGGCAGTGGGTGAAAATGTCGACCTGCTTAAAGCTGCAGCGTGAAACAAGGTAGGGGATGAAAGCTGGCACGGGGTATAGTCAGTACTGAGTCCTGAGCGACTTTGATGGGTGTGCGAGCTTATCTGTGAGACGTGTCCATGGAGCAAGCAGCAAGGCTTAGAGAGAAGAGTCATCACACATCTTGAGCACCCAGCCGACCTTGTCCGTCTCCCACCTCCTGCAGAGAGATACAAGTGTCCGACATATGGTATGGATGCCTCCTCTTCTGTGCAGGAATACCAGGGTAACAGCCATCTAAGGAAAAAAGGGCAGGACGTTTTATATTAACCAGACAGAAAGAAATCAATGAGATGTAGACATGTAATGCTTAGAATGGAAATGATGGGCGGATAATAGCATCAGCATGAAATACTCTCAGCTGGGTAAGAAAAAAGGATACTGAACATTACAATAAGACTCTACATAACTAATGCACACTACTGAGGCTTTTATATGAAAGTGGACAAAGAACCGTCACAGCCAATAAGACTCTCCCTATCATTTATTATCCTAGGCCAGAAACATGTAAGGAAGGATCCGATTGGTTGCTGAAGGCAATGCACAAAAGGTCATTCATAAGGCCCATTCTATTAACTACAACATGCTGCGATAACCACAGAAATGGAAAATATAGTCTACAATTATTGTGCTTTTCTGAAGGTATAAAGGAAATCTGAGCAAATTAAAAACAAATGTTTTCCACGTCTGTTAAAACTGTAAAACTGATATATATATATATATATGGACAGTTTTTAAGAAGATTCAATGGTAATTATGAGAACATTTGATATTGGAAGGACTGTAAGCTAATAAACAACAGAGATTTACATTCTGTGATCAGGTTTTATGACCTAGTTTTTCCAGGCCTTTGAAGAGTTGCAGATATCTACTGTACTCTAAGCAGTTGTCTGCATAGCCATTCTCAAAAATATCTACCCAACAAGCAGGGGCGTAACTAGAAATCCCAGGGCCCCACAGCAAAATTTTGTATGGGCCCCACAACCTTGACGTTTTTGCACTGTGTTCAGGCCCGGATTCCCCACAAGGCCACCGAGACCCGGCCTCAGGGCGGCAGCGGTGTCCTTGTGGGGAAGGTGCCCTCTCTACATTCAGTCCTCCTTTGTACAAGCAGGACTGAATGTAGAGTGAGGCCGACGATTTTTCGTTTACATGTGTGCAGCCTCCTCCCCTCCCCCCTGCACATACCTCTCTCCTTTGGTTCCGTCCTCCGCCGCCGAGTCCCGAGTCTCTCACTGCATTGAGCAGAGCGGCAGGGTTATAAGTAACCCTGCCGCTTCGTGTAGACAGTGAGAGGGGCGAGCTGTGCTCTTCCTCTCTCACCTGTCACAGGAGTTCCAGCACAGTACTGTGCTAGAACTCCTGTATTGGAGGTGACAGGGTCAATAAAGAGAACCTGTCACCTCCAATTGCTATTACACAGGGGATTGTTAATAAAGTTAGGTGAAAAAAATGAAATTGATAAAAAATGTAAATAAATAAAAATAAAAAAATTATATGAAATAATAAAATAAAAAGGTAATTAAAAAGTAAAAAAAGAAACAAATTATTAAAAAATAAGAAAATAATTAAAAAAAATAAACAATAATAAGATAAGTATAAAAAGTAAATAAGATAAATAAAAATCTAAAAAAAATTAAATTGATAAAAAAATAATGAAATAAATAATAAAAAAATAAGAATTAATTAAATAAAAAAATAAAAAGTGATAAAAAAAGTTCAAAAAAATTAAGAAACAGTAGAGTAAGAAAAGAAAAAATATTTGGGTGGTGCGCATCACAGGACCTGGCCTTGGGGCGGCAGAGAGAGTAAATCCGGCCCTGGCTGTGTTGGTGTTTGTGTTATGATAAAATTATACAGGCATATATTTAATTGCAACACAAGGTATCACAACGCATGGCAATGCGTCACAAAGCTTTGCCATGCGCTGCCACAGTTAAACTAATGTTTTTTTGCAAAAAAATCATGCACTGCAATGCGTTCTAACAACGCACTGCAGCACATGTGCCTGGCATACACCACAAAATGGTGCACGTGTATGGTATGTGTGTGTAGGGGAGGGGGGTTTGTGCTTTTTTTTTTACTGTTGGGGGAGGGGGGGCTACGGTGAAATATCTGGGGTCTAAACAGACCCCTAACATTTCACTTTTGAAATAGAAGACACAGAGTCCTCAATTTCTTTTTCTGCAGCCTCAGCACTCAATTTGAATGGATAGCACTCAGTACAGAGGCTTCCCATTCATTCTGCTGATAGTAAAATACTTACCATCAACCAGTTTCTGAATGGGGAGAAGCCGCTATAGTGAGTGCTACTCTCCATTGAGAAATTCATGAATGAACAGGAAGTGATGTAAATCACATCCTGTTCATTCATAACTGGGGACACATAGTACTAGGTGTCCCCAGTTATTTACAGAAGATCACTCCAGTTTTTGTGCTGCACACGGAGGATCGGTAAATATCACTGATATTTACCGATCCTCCGCTCGGCCACGCACAGATCCGCAGACCCGTCTGCCGCTCGATCATCTTGATCAAGCAGCTCACTCCTCAAGTGACCGCATCGGTCGCTATGGTGGTAGTTCCGCCACTGCCAACAAGCCAGAAAATCATTATGATTAATGTCTCCATTTTCTAACCATCATTCATAAGCTTAGACTTTCAAATTTTAATTGAATCTTTTGAAAAATTGCCCCTTGCATCTGCAGCCCAAGGATGTATACATATTTTGTATATACGGTGACACTTTAATGGTTCATAACAATGGGAAAAGTGTGGAGTGTTGAAAGCTCTTTAATAATGACCAGAATGTGCACTTTTTTTAATTGAAACCGTCAAACTATGTCCTACCTAATCTCCAATCGGTATGGGCTGGGGGTCCGGAACAGCCACTGCGGATGGGCGGAAGAGAAAGACACAAGAAGACAGTGGTAGAGAAGAGACTGAAGCAGAAGTAAGCAGATAGGAGAATGGACAACAGAGATGAAGAAAGCACATATTTAAGCAGACAAGTGGGACAGCAGCCTTAAAGTGAACCTGTGGTCAGGGTACGGACATTAAAGTATTGACATATTCATTAAGATACAGTAAATGGGCTTTAAAACAAGCCCCTTTACTGACCTCTGTAGCTGCAGGAACTGTGGAGCAATTCATCTCTAATGTTCTGTGCTTTTGCTGTGAAGTCCTTTAAGTAGTTTTCTCAGCTTTTGCTCACCCCTCCCAGCAGAGACTCCGCAGCCCCGAATGTAAACCCAGAGCCTTAGACAACATCAGTCCTTCTGCTGTGAGCTTTGTGAATGATTTGTTCTATAGATCTGCAGCTGAGGTCGGTGAGGCCTTGTAAAGCTCATTTACTGCTTGTTAAGGATATGTACAGTGCATACTAAAATGTCCATAGTCTGGTCACATGTTCCAATTTGACCGTACAATCTCTGTTTAGATTTACCAAAAACGACACAAGGCAATCCTACAGAAAAAAAGATTACCGATACCCATTCATGTAGGCCTTACACTACACCAGGGGTCTCAAACCTCCGGCCCTCCAGCTGTGGTGGAACTACAAATCCCATGAGGCATTGCAACATTCTCACAGCCACAGACATGACTCCCGAAGAGAGATGCATCATGGGATTTGTAGTTTCACCACAGCTGGAGGGCCGGAGGTTTGAGACCCCTGCCCTACACAGTTGTAGATAAATATAAAGCACAGCATTGGAGCAGAACGTAACTTGACTGGCCAGCTTCAAGAAATGCTTCTTTTCCCAATTTTGTTCATTTTTATATTCCATTATTAACCTATTTCTTCTGCCATATACTCGGGGAAGGGACCACAAGGCAGTTAAAGACTAACTCCAGATAGATAATACAGTGTTGACTTTTGTGGTATTAGATGAATTTTAGCTGCAAAAGGCCATCCAACAACTACTTGCAGTAGATATCTCATCTTTAGGGTCATAAATGTGCCAGGCCACGCAGATAAAGAAGCTCTGAACTCTCCCCTAGAGTTACCATAGTTAATCAGACATTGAATCTCTATTAAATCTGGCTCCAGGATGCCTCAGCTATTCCAACTAAGCACTGTTAGAGCACTGCTAGCAACTCCGGAATAACAAGGGCCCAATGGAGGGGCAATGTATTCTTTAACATGTAAGGGAGGTCCTCTGTTGACAGACAACATACAAATGATGATGGTTCGGTAATTTTTTTGGGTGGGTCAGGTGACCACTGCTCTGTCTCTAGCTATCCTGCAAGGCACATTTGCTTTTACTTTGTGTGGGGCACTACACAGGTTGGATTTACTTTCCTTGGTTTTCCCTCCCCAACATAAAGCTGGTATTGGGGATGTCAGCCCAGTACACATATGTGCACACGTGTGACGCACGTGTGCATAGTTTTTTTTGCTTTACTTTAGCTAAACTTTTCACTACATCTTTACCTCACATCCACAGTGGCTTGCAAACGTATTCACCTCCCTTGGCATTTTTCCTATTTTGTTGCATTAAAATGGATTAATTGGAGGTTTGTATCATTTGATTTACTCAACATGGCTACCACTTTGAAGATGCAAAATATTACAAATACAATGATACAAACAGGCAATAAAACAAAAAAAACGAAAACTTGAGAGTGCATAACTATTCCCCCCCGCCCCCCGCATCAATACTTTGTAGAGCCACTTTTTGCAGTAATTACATTGCCTATTCTTCAAGGCAAAACTGCTCCAGCTCCTTCAAGTTGGATGGGTTTTGATGGTGTACAGCAATCTTTAGGTCATGCCACAGATTTTCAATAGGATTGAGATTTGGGCTTAGACTATGCCATCACAAAACATTTAAATGTTTCCACTTAAACCACTCGAGTGTTGCTTTAGCAGTATGCTTAGGGTCATTGTCCTGATGGAAGGTGAACCTCCATCCCAGTCTCAAATTTCTGGGAGACCGAAACAGGTTTCCCTCAAGAATTTCCCTGAATTTAGCGCCATCCATCATTCCTTCAATTCTGACCAGTTTGCCAGTCCATGCTGATGAAAAACATCCCCACAGTATGATGCTGCCACCACCATGCTTCACTGTGGGGATGGTGTTCTCGGGGTGATGAGAGTTCTTGGGTTTGCGCCAGACATAGCATTATTTCCCTTGAAGGCCAAAAAGCTCAATTTTAATCTCATCTGACCAGAGTACCTTCTTCCATATGTCTGAGGAGTCTCCCACATGACATTTGGCGAACAGCAAACTTGTTTGCTTATTTTTTTCTGTAAGCAATGGATTTAGCCACTCTTCCAGGCCAGCTCTGTGGAGTGTACGGCTGAAAGTGGTCCTATGGACAGATACTCCAATCTCTGCTGTGAAGCTTTGCAGCTCCCTCAGGGTTATCTTTGGTCTCTTTGTTGCCTCTCTGATTAATGCACTCCTTGCCTGGTCAGTGAGTTTTGGTGGGCGGCCCTCTCTTGGCAGGTTTGTTGTGGCACCATATTCTTTCCATTTTTTAATAATGGATTTAATGATGCTTCATTGGATGTTCAATGTTTCGGATATTTTTGTATAACTCCACCCTAGTCTGTACTTCTCCAAACTTTGTCCCTGACTTCTTTTAAGAGCTCCTTGGTCATCGTGGTGCTGCTTGCTTGGTGGTGCCCCTTGCTCAGTGGTTCTGCAGACTCTGGGGGCCTTTTAGAACAGGTGTATTTATACGGAGATCATGTGACACTTACATTGCATTCAGATGGTCTTTTTTTAAACTAATTATGTGACTTCTGCAGGTAATTGGTTTCAGCAGATCTTATGTACGGGCTTCGTAGCAAAGGTGGGAATAGATATGCACACACCACTTTTCTGTTTTTTATAATTTTTTTAAACAAGTTATTTTCTTGATTTCACTTTTCACCATTTTGGACTATTTTGTGTATGTCCATTACATGTAATCAAAATAAAAATCCAGGTGGTAATGCAACAAAATTGCAAAAATGCGAAGGGGGTTTGAATACTTTTGGAAGCCACTGTATGTTATTATGTTTATTTCCTTGACCTTTATAAGCTTGCCCTTTAGCTATTAAAAATACAATACTGACCTTTATTAACTTTACCTTTAAATTATTTATTTCATATAACTTATTTTAAAACAAGGAGCAGCTAACCACATTTGGAATCAAATTGTCATACCATACAGTTATACTAAAATATGATTGTGTATGGAGTGAACAGAGCATTAGATAACCCCAAGAGGTCAGGTACATGATTGCATTCACTTGGAATATGTTTCTGATGTACAGGAAAAGGTGGATGTGAATGTTAGGTAAACAAACGATTTCCTGAGACTTCAGCAGTGTTTATACACAGGTACCTTCAGACTAAATCTAGATGCAATATTTAATATTAACCTATAATTCAACAGCCTGCCTGCATTACAGGCATCATTTGGAGACAAGATGTTTAGCCATAATCAAACCCAAAACAGCATTTTCAGCTGGTACAGAAGCTCCAAAAACTGTTGGGACATATTAAACATTAGCATAAAAATTACTGAAGACAGGCAGACCATAAAAAGTTTTCCACAAATAATGGCGTGGGAAAGATGGTAGTGACAATTTGACTTCGTCTATTGTGGTCCAACACAGTGCTAAAACTTAAATTTAGACATCTGCCAACAACATGATCAGCTGTTGTAAATTCTTCAACCCATCTCCCAACCTAAGGGTGGACTTAATTGGTTAGTGAGCACTGGGATATCCCATCTCTTAACCAAAGAGTGGACTTACTTGGTGAGTAAGCACTGGGATTTTCCATATTCCAAGCTAAGTATGGACGTGGCAAGTGAGCACTGGGATATCCCATCTCTTAACCCAATGGTGGACTTACTTTGTGAGTGAACACAGGATATCCCATATATCATCTACCAACCTAAGGGTGCACATACTTGGAAAGTGGGCACTGGGATTTCCCATCTCCCAACCTAAGGGTGAACTTACTTGGTGATTAAGCACAGGGATATCCCATCTCCCAACCTAAGGCTGAACTTACTTGATGAGTGGGCAGTGGGATATCCTATCTCTCAACCTAAGGGTGGACTTACTTGTTGAGTGGGCACTGGGATATGCCACGTCTCAACCTAAGGGTGGACTTACTTGGGGACTGAGCACTAGGATATCCCGTATCCCAACCAAAGGGTGGACTTACTTGGTGAGTGAGCACTGGGATATCCCATCTCCCAATCTAAGGGTGGACTTGCTGTGTGAGCACTGGTATATCTCATCTCCCAACCTAAGGGTGGACTAACTTGGTGAGTGAGCACTGGAATATCCCATCTCCCAACCTAAGTGTAGACTTATCTCAAAAAGATTCATGTATCAGTGTACAGTAGCAACTGTCTTTACAATCCCAAGGTCAAACTTTCATCCCCCCAACTGTCATAACCCTGTGCAGGTCAGAATCTAATATTAAGCTTGATTCACTAAGTTATAACATGTGTGTTATCTGTCATAAGGATCAATATTTTCAGCTTAATATTTGTTAGGACAAACAACAGTTGTTATAAGTGAAATGAGTAAACTATCTTTGCAGTGCTACAAATAGCTTGTCCCGCCATGTCTTGCCGCATGCAGCAAAAGCTTTTTAACAGGTACTATGCTTCAAAGCACCAGTAGCGCAGAAAGCCTAAAGGGTGCTGCAGGCTTATTGTAGGGACATGCCAAGGTACAGGTGGGCTGCCACAGGGGGCAGATGGGTAGCAGGGTCAGGCCGAGCAGGAAGCAGTGAGCACAGCTGACACATAGTGAACATGAACTTTTACAGCAGTTAAGTGACATAGTGAGATACAGGGACAGGAAAAGCAAATATAGAATAAAAAATACACAAAAGAATTGTGAAAAAAGAAAGTGACTAGATGAGCAAAACTGGAAAGAAAGCAACTTAAAACACAAAGTATAGAAAGTGGAAAAAACAAGGGCTAGAGCCAGAGACTGAAGGACCATTCTTTTTCCCCTAACAACCATGTTCTCATATTCTGCACTAGACACATGCAAGGAAACATTGGAATAGTTGGAATGTACAGCAGGAAGTGTCCTTTCTTAAGACACTTTTCGAAAGGCCTACAGTGTCCGGGAAATGCAGAGTGGGCATATTGACAAAGATGCAAAGACAATTGGTAAAGATAACCACAAAACAATTAAAGGAACCTCTGGAGATAGAAATATGGAAGCCGCCATTGATTACTTATTCCTAAATGTATAAGTTGTGGTACTGTCATCTGTCCCCATCTTTCACTGCTTGGTGAGTCATGGACTAGAAAGAAGTATGAGCTAATCGTCTGTCCCAAAACATTGGCTGTATGGTTTTTCCAGGTCTCGGACTAGGTAATCTGCCTTTCTATTGCCCATGTGGGGCAAAGAAATAGGCCGCCCCACTATCACAATTCCTTGCTCCATTTTAATCAATGCGAATGAACTGAAATACCCGTGTCCAGGGTAAACATGTGACTAACTGGCCCTCTCCAATGTGGCAGAGCCAGGGACCTTGTGATTGGCCCAGCCTGTCACATGGTGGTGGGGAAGGAGTCCATAGCCCAGAGTCCATTGGACAAGAAGGCCTGGCTCGCAGTCTCCACTCTAATTCATCCCAAAGGTGTTCTATCTGGTTGAGGTCAGGACTCTGTGCAGGCCAGTCAAGTTTCTCCACCCCAAACTCGCTCACCCATGTCTTTATGGACCTTGCTTTGTGCACTGGTGCGCAGTCATGTTGGAACAGGAAGGGGCCCATCCCCAAACTGTTCCCACAAAGTTGGGAGCATGAAATTGTTCAAAATGTCTTGGTATGCTGAAGCCTCAGGAGTTCCCTTCACTGGAACTAAGGGGCCAAGCCCAACCCCTGAAAAACAACCCCACACCATAACCCTCCCTCCACCAAACTTTACACTTGGCACAATGCAGTCAGGCAAGTAACGTTCTCCTGGCAACCGCCAAACCCAGACACGTCCATCGGATTGCCAGAGACAGAGAAGCGTGATTAGTCACTCCAGAGAACACATCTCCACTTCTCTAGAGTCCAGTGGCGACGTGCTTTACACCACTGCATCCGACGCTTTGCATTGGACTTAGTGATGTAAGGCTTGGATGCAGCTGCTCGGCCATGGAGACCCATCCCATGAAGCTCTCCAAGCACTGTTGTAGTGCCAATCTGAAGGCCACACAAAGTTTGGAGGTCTGTAGCTATTGACTCTGCAGACAGTTGGCTACATCTGCGCACTGTGCGCTTCAGCATGGCTGACCCCGCTCTGTCATTTTACGTGGCCTACCACTTGGTGGCCGAGTTGCTGTTAGTGCCAGTTGCTTCCACTTTGTTATAACACCATTAACAATTGACCATGGAATATTTAGTACCAAGGAAATTTCTCGGAACACCTGAATCCAAGGACTTGGATGGGCGTCCCAATACTATTGGCAATATAGTGTATTTCACTCATGACAGGTGTGTTTTAAGGTGCCATTGTAAACTGCACAGAAGATACTTTTGCAAAACGCACCCAATTTCTGTAAGATGGCCGATTCATTACTTCTAGGGATATCTGCCCCATTTTTGGGAATATCACCTATAACTTGGCTTTGTTACACCTCAAGTGCTTTTACTGACATCATTGCCATGAAGTCAGCAAACTTAAAAAGGACATAAATGGGAAGGTGGTATAAAATAAAGTAGCGAATGAAAATGGAAAGAAAACTCCATGTAGGAATATGAGAAAGAAAAGACATCCAGCAAAGTTAAAGGAATGAATGTGGATAAGATTAGGAGAGGACAGACAGGGAAGAGTGAAACACCTAGAGTTACTGGAGGGATAATGAGCGGCGCTTCCCCCACTCACTGCTATCTGAGACTGTTCAGGTTTGCTTGGTGAGAGAAACCATTATAAGGGATTGGGGTGGGGAGGGAGAGTTCATGTTCAGGAGGCAGCCACTCACCGGCCAGGCAGCCATCAGAGCCCCGCACATTGTCCAGAGCGTCCAGTGTGACATGAGCTGCATTGTTATTATCACACTCTCTGCCAGTCCTCTGCCCTGCAACAGAGTTAAGGAAGTTAGAGGTGGGCGCGATTTTTTTTTTTTTTTACAGACAGACTGCCCAACATATATTAGCCTAGGAATCTTGTGTGCACAGTAAGAAGAGGAAGAGAGTTGTCAACTGCAATAATGATGCCATGCAGGAGTGGTCTGTACATGCATATTACGAATAACCAGCAAGATATTAAATAGTACCAGTCCAGGTTCGGGCATTTGTAATATACTTAATGTCTTGTGCCACCTTACCTTTCAGAGATAGGTGTGTGTGCCGTTATACACTTGTATACTCTCCCTGTCAGCAGAAACATCAACCCAGTGTCATTCTGTAAGGCCACTATAGACTAGTCTTGGGCCTCAATGCAGTTCTCTTAACTAACACTCAGTCTGGCCTGCAGAAGAAGGGTAAAACTGTCATTTAATTAACCCTTTGTTTTTTTCATCAATCCTGACAGCACCTTTGTTATATTACAGTTTTAAATGTCAGTTGTTAGCAATGAGCTCAGACAGGACATACGAAAGGGCCATTGGGTCTGTGTCAATGGGCCTTGGGTTGATGGCATCAGTTTGATATCAGTTTCAGATACTTCTGAGATCATTCAGAATTCAATGACAGATTCAATTAACCTGCAGATGACCTCTTTCTGACCTGTATATGACCTGTTTCAAGCACGCTTTCCATTCCTGTAGATCTTTATGGGTATGCAAAAACAGTTTTACATGAACAAAACAGATGCCGGCCCTTATAATCTGACTCTTTTGCACTGACAAGGGGAATACACACAAACAATGCAAAGTAATCCCCGGGAGGTTGTGCTACATTATTAAAACAATTCAAGAACAGAGATTCAGATTAATACAAATGCCCCTTAATGACTGGTTCTCTTTAAGATTCTGCTGGTTGTATGGGGTCATAGCATTCCTTACCAGATGTGTAATAATTGCTAGACCCCAGTGGATTAGTAAATCATTTAACACATAAATGGTGGCACCATGAAAAGACTAAAGCAGTACATGGAACATATTCATCGGCGTAAATACTGAGAGCGTTACCGTCATCCTCTTCTGGAGATGCAAATTCCTCTTCTGTGACATTTCCCTGAAAAAAACCCAGAAAAAGACAACATGACATCAGTGAGTGCATATAATTTCATGTGGCTTGGAACAGATGATTGTTGCTGGATGCAGGATAGATGCATCCAGGGACAGTGATCTATTCCAAACTGCATGTAATCATATCATATACAATTACATGTGGACTGACACTTACAGATGAAGCCACATCTGAATGGGGACCCCTGGGATTCCTGTTGCTGGAACCCGTAGGTTCCTGCTGCAGGAATGCCAGATTGCCCCATCTGAACAAAGCCATGTGCAATTAAATCATGACAAAAAAACTGTAAGATGATAACTCCTTGTGCTCTTTGCTTCAGTCAGTTTAGCATTGTTTCCTGTTATTCTTGTAAACTACAGAACACATACCCCATGTTACAGAGATGAGGAGTTCTGTAGTTCTGACACTTGCAAAGGAAGTGAGGGGTCATTTTCTAATGGGGGCACCTGTTTTACTGACAACTGTCTAACGGGAGATTTCTTCTTACCTCAGAGAAATTTCCTCTGACGTTGTTGTGTTTCTGGTACAGGAAGTGAAGGGAAATTCCCCAAAAGAACACAATAAAACAGCCTGACAGGAATCATTATCTTCTCTATTGGGGATGCACTGAAATTTCGGCCGCCGAAACATATTGGCCAAAAATGGCACTTTTGGCAAAATGCGGAAAGTGCCATCTTTCAGGCGAAATTGTGGTGCATGCCTGGTTTCTCTGCTCCCGGCTGGGCGCTGCTCTGTCTCCTCTGACATAGTGCAGCGTCCATCGGGGAAGAGAGAAACTGTCACAGGAGGCCGAGCGGTGCGGGAAGGAGAGCGTTGTGAGCGGCCTGCGTGTCACAAGAGGCCGGGGTCTCCTCCCGCACCGCCCCACTCGGCTGTGACAAAATCAGGATGAAAAGCTGTGGTGTGGGGGCGGAGGCAGCTGTCATTGGAGGTGCAGGGGAGGAGTCAGCTGTCACAAGAGATCGAGCTTTCCCACACCGCTCGCTGATCCTCCTGTGACAGCGTGTCAGGATAGAGAGCGTGTATAAGCACTCAATGATCAGTGATTGCTGAGTATTTGTAAATAATTGAGGACATCGTATGTTTACTGGGTCCCCAATTATGAATGAATGGGAAGTAATCTACATCACTTCCTGTTCATTCATGATTGTGGACATGGTAAACATACTATCTCCACAAGTTATGAATGGACAGGAACACTCAGTATAGAGGATTCCTGTTCATTTATAACAGGGGCTGAATGAAAAGAGATTAAGGACTCTGTGTTCTCAATCTCTTTTTGAATTTTAAAAGGAAAATATCAGGGATCTGTTTAGATATTTCCCCCGAAGCCCCCAGCAGTAAAACGCAAAAAAATAAAAATATTTAATTAAAAAATATTTTTTTAAATGTGAAAAAAAAATTCGGTTTCGGTATGACATTTATTGTTATTTTCAGTTTCACAAATTCCATTAGGGTGCACCTATATTCTGTATCCATATAAAATAAAGTGCTTTAGATATACTTGAAAACAGTGTTCGTTTTAGGAAATAATGATCATTATAGCATAGGGAATTGAGCCTGACAGGGTTTAATCACTGCCTGCTCTATTCATAAATCTTAAAAATATAGAAGTTGGAAAGCAAATCATTACTAATTAGTTTCAAATGGTACCTTTATTCCTTCCTAGGATCTGAAGTTTCTGCAATAGTTAGCAGTTACTGTCAGAAAAATACATGCATTAGCAAAGGATTATTACATTATGTCGTACTGAATTTGAGGAATATGTCAAATTAGATCAGCGGGCCTTACTGATCAGTGTCAGGAATAAGCACTGTCTGTTTTGCCTAGTAAATACCATATCCTCCTTCCCTGCAGCCTTCACCGGAATAGTAGTTTGGATCCAAATAGTTGTTACGGAGGAACACAGACTATTCTTATTTCATGGTAGGGGGCATGGGTGAGTTTTAACAGGCTGTGTATTGCAAGCCTGCCACTAACTAACAAAGCATAAAGGCTGGATTCACACCCTACCATTGTGTTACCACATGTTTGTTGCGTTAGGGTAACTCATTTTTTTTTCAAGAGGTGGCCAACACACCACAACACACCAAAAAATGCATGTGAACCTTATTTCTGTGTGTGTTGACATGTCCTGGCCACTACAGTGTAGTGTGTTGGGGGTGCCATTCACCATCATTTGCACCACACTTGGACATATTGGTTGACAAGCATTGCAGTAGTGTACATTTTAATACACGTTACCACAGTGCTCTCCAAGCGCTCAAACATAGCTATGTAATTTTGGATTCTGGCTCCTGTCTATCAACCCCTCCCTCTCCTACCCAAGCAGCAATGGGGGTATACCTCTGCATCCATTTCATCTGCAGACACAGTCACAAAGTGCCCCTCAGGTGATAGCTGTAAGAGAAGCATGTAGATGGTTAGTATATATTGCGCAATCAATGAATGGTGCTGAAAGCAATGCAGGATCTTACCTCTCCCTCTTCTGATGGGGATCCGCTGGGTGCCACTGGAGGTGATGGCGTGATCCCCTCTTCCTCCTCCTCCTCCTCCATCACGCCAGCTGTGTAGGAGCCAGACATGGAGGACACTGTGTCTGTGCTGAACTGGGACTGCTGGCTGTGGGACGAGGCCATGGACATTACGGACTGTGCCAGGCTACTGCTCAAAGGGTCTGCGCAAGAGATGAGGGTGGAATGGGGCAATGAAGGAAGTAGTGACAACGATGGATAAGACAAAAGAGGGGGAAACAGATGAAAAAGATGAGAAGTGAGGATTACAGTACAGGGTACAGAGAAGGGAGAGACGCAGAGCAAAGAATGGGAAGCAGAGGTACAGGAGTAAATCAGTGTGTGGCGGGGGTGAGAGATGGGCAGAAAAGGGACGGGTGAGGAGTACAGTTAAATGGTTACAGAAGCATAAAGCAACAGAATTCTCAAAGCTGGTGTAAAATGTTTCATTCATAGCAACGAACAATGCAAACGCAAAAGAAATAGATCTAATGACCCACCCAAGAAGAAAAAACAAACCACTACTACAAGAAATAGAAGCATCTACATTCAGTGGGCTATTTTTCAGAAAGAATGCCCAGGACTCATTTTGTTGGGTGAAAGGATTTGGGTGAATTGAAAATTAGAGTAATAAATTATAAATGTAACTCATCTATTGATTCATTTGTCCAGGCAATACTTTACTTCTTCTTAATGGATTATGGAAGGGTTACAATCTATGTCAAGTTTTTATTGCTGTATGTTATACAAATGGAGAGATGTCTGCCCTCAAATCAAATTATATATATATAATTATCAGGGATGCACCGATACCGTTTTTTTGGCATTGAGTGCGAGTACCAATATTATATACACACACATATGTATATACTGTGTATATATATCTTGCATCAGGTGCTATGGTATGACTATTAAACACTGAAAATTCTGAATTTACCCTTTGCACACTGCTATACATCCTTACATATTTCTAGGAACTGTTTGCAAAAAAATGGTCCCCACTAGGAAGATTTTTATAATGTTCTATTCTGTGACCACTGTCACTGAGACAGAAAGTTAAAGTGTACGTCTGGACAAAAAACATTTCAGTACATACCTGCCATACATGGAGCAGTTTTAAAGATAGAACAGAACAATATCTGCTAATTGTGCCAGAAATACAGGGAGCTCCTAACATCCAGTTTTAGCTGACACAGCTATCAGCTGTGCCCAGCTCTACGCTGAACCATTAAACAGCTCTCCCTTATGTTATAGAAATTAGAAGAGGGAGGGATGTTCTGTAGTCCAGCAAGAGAGAAATGGGCAGGGCTAATAACACTACTTGAGATTAAAGTGCCCCAGAGTCACTGTGTTAGGGCTGCAACTAACGATTATTTTCATTAACGACTAGTCAGCCAATTATTGTTTCCAATTAATCGGTTAAAGAAAAAAAAACATCTTTTATTTACAATAAAATACACAAATGTAGTGTTACAAACAAAGTTTACTGCAGAATAAAACAGTATGCACATTTTTTGCAATCGCACGGCTCTGGAACGCACGGCATTGCAGTATTGTACGTTCCACTGCAGGTGATCACACTATGGGCAGGAGGCGTTTTTGGGGTGCCATTGAAATGAATGGCACCACAGCGCACATCCCGCAGTAGAATTTGTCAGGCCGAAACCAAAAGTTACTTTTTCCACCTTGTTTTATATTGAAATAATTGTATGTATTATTAGACATTTAAATTAGTTTCATAGATTTAAAATAATGTGAATTGTAAAACTCAAACATAATAAAATAACCAAACTTTTATTTAAAATAAATATAATCCCGGTCATCATTTTAGAGTTAGCCATGAATAGTGGCCGAAAATTATTGCTCTCACTCTGGCGCACGCGGCGATACCTGACATGTGTAGCGCAATTGTTGTTTTCATACATAGGTGCCCCCGAATTGCGTTTCCGTTACTATGCTCACGTTTGCGGGGTAAGGGGACTTTAAACTTTTTGGGGGGTATTTTTTATTTTATTTCACTTTTTATTCTTTTTTTATTTATTTTGAATTTTTATTATACCCCTAGTGTTGCCTTTCCACTTCACTGGAGAATGTCAGCTGCCTGCTGAGGCAGCTGAATGTAAATACAGCATGCAGTGGCTGGGAGCAATAGCCAGCCTCCTATTGGCTATTTTAAATTGCAATAGCCAATAGCAGGCTGGCTGTTGCACCCGCCCACTGCCTGCTGTCAATCAGCAAAGAAGGGAACTAAAGGAGAAAGTTCTTCTTCAGGTCCTCCTCTGCTGATTGACAGCAGGCAGTAGGCGGGTGCAATAGCCAGCCGACTATTGCAATTTAAAATATCCAATAGCAAGATGGCTATTGTTTCCAGCCGCTGATTGTAGACTTGACGCAGGTGTTCTATTAATCTCTCCGAAGGATTGATAGAACACCGGCAGGTGAGGGGGCACGGAGGAGCAGAAAAGGAAACGGGACGGGCAGAGGAGGGGAAACTGGACGGGCAGAGGAGGCGGAATGGGACGGGCAGAGGAGGAGGAATGGGACGGGCAGAGGAGGAGGAGTGGGACGGGCAGAGGAGGAGGAATGGGGCTAGCAGAGGAGGAGGAACAGGGCGGGCAGAGGAGGAGAAACGGAGCAGCAGTGGAGGACTGCAGAATCATCGCAGTCTCTTGTGCCGCGCTGGTGCCGGCTGCAGTGGTCTGTGTCCTCGCTGCCTCTGCCGATACAGGTGGGGAGAGCAGCGGGGATTGAAAGGGACACAGACCACTGCAGCCAGCACCAGCGGGGAGGAGAACGAGGAGCAGAGTGGCGGCAGGGGAATCAACGAATCAATATTGAGAATTGTTGACATCGATTCCCATTATTGTTTATAATCGATTTAATCGATTAGTTGTTGCAGCCCTACACTGTGTTGTCGGGCCAAACAGGAATTGTAGTCCTGTGATGGACTACAATGCTACATTTGGTTTACTAATTTGTATTTATATTGTAGTCCATCACGGGAGCGAGCTTGGAGTGGTGGCTACTTTACAACACACACAGGGACCATGGGGGACAAAAGGTAGCCACCCTCCAGAAGGAAGAACAGTGTCAGCACCAATTCAGAGATGATTTGAGGATCTACAGCCGAGTGATAAATAATAAATAAGATACATTTTTGCTAATAGTTAGGGTACTTTAAGATTTAGGGATTTTTAAGATTTAACTTCTGAGTTAATGTCACTTTAATCTTCAAAATGATGTCAGTTAAAACAACCTGACAAATAAAAAAAAATTAAAACATTTTAAATATAAAATGTGTTCTTATTTAACTCCTTGTTAACACTTTGTTTACCATAATGAGACCAAATTAATTCCTTTTCCCCTCCTCCCCTTAACCAATAATTTTCTTGCAATTTGTTTTAAGTGTCGCATTAAAAAAACAGCACAAGATTGAAGAAGAGAAAACCCTTTATTTCATATGTAAATAACTACAATGCTTTGTACCGGAATCATAATTTTAGTGTCATTTTTAAATGTGACAAATAATAGAATAAAACGTATTCCTTTATCTACAGTAACACTATTTTTTTTAAACTAACACTGATACAAGTAGATAAAAAGTGCATTTGTTTGTAGTTTTATTATTTTTTTGTCCATGGATTACACACAAAAAAAAAATAATCATATTTACAAGACAATATCACCAAAAGAAAACCTTGTCTGTTTATATATATATATATATATAAAAAACTTTATCCTAGGTAATGACAAAGTTACTTCTGAATCAATAGCCCATAGCAGGAATGTAAAAATTGCTCTGGTCCATAGGCAGTGTACAGGTGTTAAAGATATAAAACATTGGGAATGTGCATGTATTGCAGAGATGTACTGCATATGTTCTTTTTGTACTGACATACACTTTAGCGTAACAGTAGCTTAAAACGTGAAACTGAACCTTACCAGTACCCGTCTTACAATGCAGATATCTTGGTGCTGAAACAAAGGATTTTCCTTCTACGATACTTTCTCATGGAAGTTCAGAATGTGCAAAAATTAAAAAAAAAAAACCTTTAAAAGGTGGCACTATGTTTTATTTCAGTAGTATACTTCTGACGCTTTTGGCTCCCTTAACACTATCTGATGGGTTATCCTATCACGGGGGGAACCCTCTGACACTCAAACTGACAAAAGCAGAGTATGTAGAGGGAGACTGTCCATGAAGCACCATAGTGCTGGATGATAAAACCAGGTACGTGGTATCATTTTGCACACATGCTGCCTCAATCACCCTTCACCCAAAATCAACTAAACAGTTTTGAATGGAAATCTACTTTGAAAGACCGTTATACTTATTGGTATATTAATAGTAGGGAGGCACCAATACCAGTTTTTCGGTATAATAGTACAACTATTTTGCTTTCGGTTCTCGCTGATACCGGTGCCTCTGCTGGCACGGAGTCAGCTTCCTGAGGAATCAGGAAGCCGGACGGCATTTAATGACATGCTGCAAGACTTCCTGATTGCCCTGGAAACTGGCTCCATACTGTTTGACCGGCTTGATTGTGATTGGCTGGGAAACCAGCTTCCCGGCCAATCAGGAAGTAATGACCCACCTCCCTGGTTGGCCGGGAAGTCGGCTGCATGCTGATTGGCTGGGAAGCCGGCTTCCCAGCCAATCAGCAAGGAGCCGGTTGTTTGGCTGGCTCGATGTTAATTGGCTGGGAAGCCAGCTTTCCAGCCAATCAGCAGGGAGCCGGCTGTTCAGCTGGATTGATGCTGATTGGCCGGGAAGCCAGCTCCATGCTGATTGGCTGGAAAGCCAGCTTCCCAGCCAATTAGCATGGAGCTGGCCGAACAGCCGGCTTCTTGCTGATTGACTGGGAAGTCGGCTTTCTGGCCGATTAGCGAGGAGCCGGCTGTTCGGCCAATCAGGAAGCCAGGAGGCGGGTCATTACTCGCCACCCAGCTTCCTGATTGCTCAGGAAGCTGGCTCCATGTTCCCCTACGGCACTGCCGGTCAGGGAAATCTCCCTCTGACCAGAAGTTCCGGAATCGGAGGTAAGTATCGGAGCATTTGGGTGAGTACGAGTACTCGTCCAAATACTCGGCATGGATACTAATAGCGGTGCATCCCTAATTAATATGTATAATAAATCCATATAACATTGCATTTTACTTATTGTTTCTGAAAAACAGCACACTGTATTATATATATATTTATAATCTCCACACACATATGCCTCGGGATGATGACCAGATCATTCCTTTATTTAGCTATTCCTAGGAATGAGACCCAGTTCACATCTGCGGATTTTAGGTGCAGTGCGTCAGGTGTTTTACATGCATATTACACACATTACTATTGCATTCTATGTAATACCCATTTTATTGGAAGTTATATCAAAGATGGAGCAAGCAGGACTTTTCCTAATGCACCGTATCCGTATCCAAAATGTGCAAATGTGAACAAGGTCTTGCATCGCTCCTGTGGGTCAACTAATTGTGTCCATGTGTTCTGCTAATCATTTCACCTGTTGGCTAATATCAGAACCTTTTGCAGATCGTGTATTTTCCTGAGCAACCATTTTATGACCCAGGAGCGTGTATGGCTATGCTGAAAACAGCCCTGATCACAGTGTAGGCGCTGGGAGGCGCACATATAGAATTGCAACCAGTGACAGCTGTTGTTTGACAATCATCTAAAGATGTGTTGCAGCACTGTGTGAAAGGCTGCGCTAAAATATAAGTGTCATTCAGCATGTGATCAAATGTATGAACAGTCCTTTCTACTGATAGCAGGTAGAACAGCATTTCTTACACTTGCCACCTATGTAAGTCATGGCGGTGCAGAGATTTCCACACAGCAGCACCACAGATGCGGGGCTCAGCGAGAAAGTGCCGAGCTTAGCCACACAAACCTGCAGCAAATGTATGAAATGTTATCTGACGTTTCTAATTTTCTAAAGAAAGTTGCTAAGTGCAAACTGCCATGTACAACTGTCCTATTACACTTATATGCCTCCACGATAGAAAGCAACTAGTGTAACAAAAGGGCGTGCTGTTAGGCATGGCCTTATACATAGTGGCCTATGTGAATCTAGCCTGTGACAGCATCAGCCCCTTGAGATCATGAATATAACAAGTGTTTTATACAATCATTTTGTGAATAAAGGATTACTACAGAGTCCCTGACCTTCAGGAGAAGTGATGGTGGAGGATAGGGGCGTTCCTGTACAAGAAGACTGGTCAATGGCTCCAGAGGAAGACAGAGTCAGGTTCTCACTCTCTGGGGTAGCTCCACACTCCTGGGGTAAAACACAAACAATGAATGTGAAAACTTTATTTTTATTTTTCAAAATCTATTTACCCCTTCCGGTGTTTTATTTCAAAGTCTTGCCATTTATTACAGTATAGCTGTCTAAACCTTCAAATGATATAGATCCTAAGACTGTGTTTTTATGATAGTAGGCACTAGAATAACCAGAAGTGAGTTGAGCCAAAATTAAGATCTTTACCCCATTCTTCATAAAATCCATTGTGAATAAACCGCAAAATCCATAAATGGTAGGGTAATAGAACTCAAAAGACATGATAAAGTGCTGTCAGACTTGAAGCCTATGCAGATCTCTGCTCCCACCGCCCTGTTTCTATCTTTGGTATCATAAGTTCTTCATCCAGATCGTCTACTAACTTTGTGGTTTTAGGGCAAAGGACTTTTTGCAGAGACTAAGGCCCTGCTTAGACAGACTTCAGGCCCCACTACCCTGTGAAAAGCGGTCTGTGGCAGATCGCTTTGCACTGGATGGTAGAGCAGCGGCTGTGATAATGTGATAATGCTGCATTATGGGGCAGATGCTTCTTTTGGTTTGGGAACATTGAACAGGCTGGGGTAAAAACCTCTGAAACCATTCTGCAACAGGAACTGGGATAATAACACTTTGATCCAGAATACCAGGAGAGCTTGACAGAGTTCTGCTAATCTGTGCCATGACACAGGAAGATCGTGCGAAAACGAGAAGAGGACAGTAGGCAAAATTCTACCTTGTAACCCTAGGAAAACACCTCCTGCACCCATGCATCTGAGATGCAAGTTGTCCAAGTGTCTGTCAAGGTTAACACAATTACCCCCACTTTGGACATCAGAGGCATAAATGTATGTTGAGGAAGATTTCTTAGATGATTTGGCAAGCTTTGAGATCCTGACTTTGTGGGGAGACTGAGCGCCAAGCTTCAAGGGGTCTGGATGTGGATGGTCCTCTTTAAAAGGCTAATAAGCACTTGGGGGAGCAAACATCTTGTCAGAGTGCTTCCAATCTCTGTAGAGAAGACTTGGAACAGCGGGTGCACTGGGATAGTCTTTACGATTGTAGGGGCCCTGAAGGGCCCAAGACTAGGAATACAACTGGAAGAAGCAAAAAGCTAATCCCATAGTTTCAGAATGATGTGCATCACATCAATAGGAGCTGGAACAGTCTCTTTTAATTTAGGAGTAATGGCAGAAGACTGTGACTTCTCGGAGTCAAGCTATGCTTTAGATAAACAATTCAATTTAAACCATAGTCTTAGCAGCTGATGGCTCACAGGCCACCAAAGCTGCCGGATCAGATACAGAATCTGCAGGGGAAGACACGGGAATGTAAATGTGGTCTCTGCGGTCAGAGTCATAAATAAAAATGTGGGTCATATATTCTTGCATGACTAGTAAAAACCTCAGCTGAGAGGGCAGAAGAACCAGCCACACCTGCTAGAGCTAAGGAAGACTGCACAGACCGGACAGACTTTAGATGATTCTAGGCTGCAGAAATCAGCCGCATGAGTTGGCACACTGCAAACAGCACCAGAGGCATCAGTAGAGTGTGAGCTAAGAACACTAGGTACAGTGGGACTGCCCCCCCTCCCCCTTGAATCAGACATGTTGAAACCATGTGGCAGAAAGGCAATGTAAAGCTCAGAATACAAGGCAAGGCTCAGACAGCTAACAGGTGATGGTAGGTTGGCCATATACATTAGATAAGTGCATTAGTGTGTATGCTCTTAGCTTCTGCTGCTTCCCATCAATGTGACAGTCTGCAGGGAGTGGTCTTTCAGCACCTAGTCTGAAAAGTTGCACTGCTGGCCCACCCCCCTCAGTTCTCTCTGCCATTCACAGATGTCCTATTACTATGATCCCACAATGCATCAAGCTATCTGAATGCAGCGGGAGATTCTGTCATTCAGCTGCTCTCTCCTCCATTCATAGAACTCGATGCATTGCAGTTTTGCATTGGCATAATAGTAATAGGAGATCTGTGAATGGCGAAGACACATAAATGGGAAGGCCAGTGGTGCAACTTTCACAGTAGCTGCTCACAGACTCCTCTCCCTGTAGCCTCTCAGAGCACCACTGAGTGTAATATCCTGCAGCTGTAAGGGGCAGTGAGGGGAAGGGTTTCAAAAGAAGAAGAAGCTGAAGCCAAGGGGATACACACCATTACGCATTTCTAATGTGTTTGGTGCGGTTTCTACCCCCAAAAAATTTAAACTTCAGCTTTTACAAAAAATGATGATTATATTTTGTTTGTGCACATTAAAATTAAGTTTAATGTATTTTTTTTTTACTGAAAATAAATGTTTGATGTGTAATATCATGCAACATAAATATATATAAATCACTGGCTTTTATATCAGGGCCTTGCACATAAACCCTATATCCCAATAATGCAGAGGTGGCAAATTATCAATTATAAATTTATGTTCCACATGTGGACTGCAAAAGCTCTTTACTGACCTCGGCTAGTTGAGGTGTTTTTTTCCTTGGACTTCGAATCTCAGCTTCACTGAATGATTTCTCCATTTCATCTTCTTGCAACACAGAAGAATTCTGGGAAATTGACCTGGAAAGGAAAGATATGATATAATTGTAAAGAGACTGTGAAGTCTGACAGACTGCATAACATTCAATAAACATTCCTGAACATTTTCATAAAGATATTGCAGCAAACACCCTACATACCTGGAAATACTTTTCTTCAGCTTTAGAGCTTGGCTGCCGCATAGGTGCTGCAGAGGTGAGTGCATCCGTAGGTGGGGGAGCTGAATATCGCTGCCATATGATGGGAGCACGCCAGGCCGCCGAGACTCCCCCAGAGCTCTCAGTGGAGGGGCAGATGGTGATGGTGTCAGGGGTCCATTCAAAGCTTCCAAGAGGGAAACCACCTCATAACCAGGAGGAACATGTTCAGCCGACTGATATGGGGAAGGAATTAAGAGAGATGGAAGAGTAAGATGGACTAGGGATGATATGAGATTACAAAAAAGGAATAGCTGTACAATGAGAAGTTAGAGTGAAGTAGTAGATTAAAGACAATGGTAAGAAGTGTATAACAAAATCTATTCATGGTTTGGATTAGAGAGACAAGTTATATCCCTCCATGGTTCTTCCTATCCATAAGAAACTTCTATTCTAAGGTCCAACCTATCTTAATAAAGCTAAATAAGGGGCAAATATAACTATTTAATAAATAAGCTGAAAAATGTACATAATACACACATCAACAGGTTAACTTTAATGACCCCCTCCTCAGCAACACATATTCATGTTTCTTTCAACATGTTTTTTTCTCATGCAGCTGCCCTTAGGGAACCCCCCCCACACACACACACAAAGTATGGGTAAATAAGGATTGGCACTTACAGCACACTCAGGCAATGGTACTTAATCATAAAGATGAAATAGAGGAAGACATCCAAGTGTTTTTTTTAAATCAAATAAAAAATGCCTTTCAGTGCCTCACACAGAGGCTGTGAGTTACACTTACGGTGTGCTCTTCAGAGTCTGAGGTTGGTGCTGCAATGATAGGGCTGAATCCAGCTGGCGAGTGAGGACCAGGGAGCTTTCTCATTGCCCGAATCTGAAGAAGAGCTCGAAAAGCTGCAGGAAAAAAATAGAACATGATGTAAATAGGGACAGGAAGGAAGATAGTAGAATATTTGCAGCAAGGGCACAGACAGCAAAAAAAAAACCCTTGTTAACCTGTAAGAAATACACTCATTTCTTAAAAGAGAACTATGGGGTAACCTTTTTATCCCATAGTTCTCTTAAGGGTCACGGGAGGACATATACTACCGTCCTCCCCTGTACCAAAGCTCAGTATATAGCGAGCTGTAGCTCACTATATACTGAGAGCGTTGCACCGGGATGGATCCCGACAATACTGTTGAGATCTACCCAGCTAGTTGAATGACAGTGGGCTTTGCCTATCTAGAGTCAGAGCTGGAGGATCGGAAGGGGGAGGGGGG